GTGATTTGATTTATCCTGAATCTTGTCTAGTAATCTTTATTTCAGAGTGGCCTCTGTTTTGCCTCTAAGTTGTCTTCTCATTCATGGCATGTGATGAATCGGACATTTTAGTGCAAAACATGCTTGATGACACAAACAAAACAAATTGGTGAGATTCACATTTGATTATGTGGGCATTCCATGAATGGTATTGTCGACACGACTTGTCACATAAAAGGTTGATGGTCAACAGAGTACATCCATATGCTATTTAGACATGATCTTTGTGCTTAGGTAGGTTATCTTAAAATTATATACATTTTGCGAGCCTATGAACTTTTGAGGTTGCAGTATATACAGAAAGCAGAAAGTTGAGGTGTCCTTTTTTGTCATTTTTCTTTGCTACGCTGTCGTTCATTGCACTCACCTTAACAGCCCGTTTCAGGAAAAAAAAAAAAAATTAGTACAGGGGGGAAAAAAGGCTGAAATGGAAGGAAATATTGCTTTGCTTTCAAGTAAAAATGTCAATAAATTCATTAAATTTCTTATATTTTTATCTCAATTTTCGAAATCGTTACAAAATATTAAATGAAGTCAAAATATTATATTATTAATATCATTTCGAAACACTCAAGGCCTAGTTTTCCACGTCGTCAACTGAGGTCAAACGGCCAATCGTAGTAAATGTTACAACACGTTTATTATTTTTGCGCGACAAACTTTTCAATACAATTTACATCATTTTATTAATTCTTTTTGATACGATCCTGAGACTTGGTCTTCTCCCCAATAAGATTCAGATCAATAGTGGATGTATTACTTGCAAGTATATTTTTCAAAAATATTTGCTGCTTCAGAGACACATTCTCTATTACAGCCTATTCCACAAGTTGAGAACACAACACAAGGGGTCACCCAGATAGAGAGAGAAGGGCAGGGTATGGGGCGCTGAATATACACTTACTAATAATACATCTTAAAGTTACCTCTGTGACCATGTCCACATCTCTAAAGCTTTTGTAGTCAAGGGAACCTTGAGTAAAGAAAGATTTTTCACATACTTCTCTTGACTCATGTTCCCTTTCTTAACACGGCTTTTCAAATTTGCTGAAAATAACAAACAGTTTTAGTTTTTTTTCTATTGAATGCAATCCTAAATGTCAAATTGAGGTTCCAACCTTTCTCACCTTTTACTCTATCAATCCCAGCTTGTAGGAACTTGTCACTGACATCTTTCCGGATAACTGGGTAATTACTAAGAATCAACGCCGTTGCTATTCCAGAACCCATAAAAGCCCTCCACCAAGTATCGCTACCTTGTTGATTCGCCTTGGTTTCAAGCCTAGATCGCTGATGCCTAGAACCTGTTTGTAATTAGAGAGTAAACAACCAGTAATTTTAAATGGGTAGCTGGATAATTATGACCAGAAATAAGAACTGGGAAGTCCCTCGAATGGAAAAAATGTCTACTGTGCAATCATTGATAACTTCTGCTAGACTGAAAGGGCAATGATATAAATATAGCAAATTTAAGTTTACTCAAGCTTTGTGGTACCGCGTTGGGCAAAGAAAATATGGACCGAGCTCTTGCAAGTGTCTGAATGCAGAAGCCCTTGGAATGCTTCAGCTTCCTGGCAATATTACATACATATCTGCTAATCCTAGGACATATTAAGGTAACATGAATAAACACAATTCAGCATTGAAATAGAAATGACCTTCCCAAGCCCAGCGCGAGGACCAGAGATTATACCCTCAATAACGTCAATGTAAACTAATGGACGCATGAGGTTTGGAGAGCCCGTTTATGGGTCTGAGCTCGAGCAAACTTTAGTAATTCCCTTGCCTCGCCTAGAGGTTCTAACTTGTCACTCCTGTAGAAACTGTTTATCCAAGGTCTTTTTTGCTCCAAACTATCAAGAGCCGAGCGACGAGCAGTATTCACTAATTCATTTGGTAAAGCTACGGCATCCACAAGGCATAAACTTGTAACAGGGAGAGAAAAAAACAGAGAGATACATGCATTACATATAAAACAAAAGTTAACAAGCTACGCACCCAAATTACTTGGCTGATTTATAGGCAAAGTACTGCTCATCAGCATCATTTCAAGCGCCTTCGCTAGACCTACAAGGCGTGGCAGTGCCTGTGTTCCTCGGATATAGATGATTGAGAGATTGCACAAACGCAAAGAAACATGATATAACTACATGGTGTGATATGAAAATACTCCACTCAAGCAATTTAATCCCCTATAGTCCCTCATAACAAAGGGACAATAGGGGATTAAATTGTAATCATCAAGTGGCAATAACATAAATCAGTTCAGAAACTCAAGCACGAGAGAAAATGATAACATGAAAAGAAGAAAGTTAATTGTTCATTTTCTGGTCATTTATTCACCCACCAGTCCTTCAGTACCCCCAACTTTAACACAAGTAACTTGCACAAAAATATTTATAGTTTCTCAACCCCTCAATAGTGCTTCACACATCTCAAGGGCAATTGGATTTGTCTGAAAGTTTCATGCTAAAAACATAAACGCATTTCTTAAA